AAAGGAGTCCATCAGGGTTATCTGAGAATTTACCTAGGTCTATTTTAATTTGTTTTAAGTCTGAGAGAGAAAATGGTACATGCACTCTGGCCGGGCCGAATTCTCCTCCTCCCACTGCTTGGAGGGGGCATAATCAGGGAATATTGGCACTTTTTGGTTCATTGTTTATCCCTTGGTCTATCTCCTTTTGGACCGAATGGGTTGAAGGGGGCCACTTATTAGTTGGGGAAGGAGTTGGGGGGCACTGGGGTAGGGAGGTAGACTCTGAGGGCTTCCTGTAGGGCATAAATCACACTTTTTACATACTTGCGAGTAGTGTCTTAATGAAAAGAAAGTTTGTACATATGGCACTTCACTCCATTTGACTTCTTTTCTACGAAAGAGGTCTAGCTGTAAGATGGTGTTGTAATTTATACTTCCCTCAGGAGGCTAGGTTTCTCCCCCTTGAAGAGGATTTCATGAAGGCCTGGAAGCAAGAGGATGAAGACTTGTGTTCAGCTTTGCCTTGGGACCTGCCTCCATAGCTAGGGAAAGAGTGTAATGAATGTGGGAACACTGCAGCTTGATTGAGAAACTCCAGTTGCTTCACACGTTTTTCTCGTTGCCCTTGTTTCTAAGAGTTTGCTGTGAAGAAACACTGCGTATAGAGTGTGTAAGTATGTGTGTGTGTGTGTGTATGAGAAAGAGAGAGACTCATACCTACCAGCTGGCTTCATCTCTCTCTCTCACTCTCTCTGACTTTCTATTTTGTTGGCTCATTTTTCTGATACCTCTCTGTATCTCTTCTCTGACTCTTTACTCTTTTGATCTCTTGCTATTCCCACCCTTGGTTTCTCTTTCTTTCATCTCCTCCCCTTCCCTTTTTTGGGACTCAGTTGCTCAGTTGCAATTGTCAGTGTTGCCTGCAGCCAGGCCAGGGTGGACAGGCAGGGAGGACTCATTTCATTTCTTGCCTCCACCCTCCAGTTATAGTTGGTTCCATGCATCTCATTCCTTCTTCCTTCAGGTGTGATTCTGAATCTGGCACAGTGGTCTCCAGACCTGGTGCCTTCGCAGTAAGTGGCCTTTCTGCTCTCTGTCACCCCTGCTACATAAGTGTGTCTCACTCTTTTATCTTCCCATCTTTGTCTCTGGTCCTGGTTCTTGGCAGTCTTGTTTTTGTCGCTAGCCTTAGCTTGGTCAAGGCACTGGGAAAGGCCAGTCCCATTCCTGCCTGTTCCTCGGGACTCTGGGGTACTCCCTGAGCAATGGGCACAGGAGGCCTTGGAGGAGGAGGAGAGGTGCCCAGGAGGGAAGGCTTGCAGTGGCCTCCTCAAGGCGTCTCCCCTCCTCAACCACCCCTGCCCTCTCACTCATGGGAGATGCTCTTACACGTACTTCACAGAGCATATTGAGACTCAGACATGACCACGCTTATCTTCTGACCACAAAACCCACACACCTGGCTTTCTCTGCCAAACAACCTCTCTCACTTTCCTCAGGAATGAATGGATGTTGTTCCTTCCAGCCTCCTGTCAAAGGCTGATCTTTTGCCTTTGCTTAGAATCCTGCCCCAATCCCCATTCTCCATTCCCTCCTCTGGTGCTTGCCTTTCTCTTCTGCATCTCTAACCTGACCGCTCTGTGGGAGGCTTTGTGTCAGCATCCAGGTACATTCCGCCCTTTCCCATGTTAAAGCAAACAAAACCTTCTCTGGACTTCTCATTTTCCATTTTACCTCAGGACCTTTCTCATCACTTTTGTTACCAAGCTTCCAGAGAGATTTGTCCATGCATGTTAACTCCGTGTCTTTACCTCTTACTATTTCTTTGCTAAGTTAATTTTTATCTTGTCAAAGTAATACATGATTATGGTTTCTAAAATCAACAGGCACTAAAAAGCTTATGCCCTGGAACAGTAGTCCATTCCTCTCCTGATGCCCAGTCTCTTTTCCCTGAAACAATTATTAATACATTAGATTTTAACTATTTCTTCTTACATCTCTGCATTTTGAAGTAATACATGTACTGTATATCACTACCTTTTGATTCAACATTTTAGGCATTATCTATTGACTTCCTCTTCTAGTACATTCCATGGACCACCATCCTTTCAATATAATTATATTTTAAATTTTAGTTGGAGCAATGTTCAGTGATTACACTATGATTTCTATGCAAACATTATTCACACTTGAGTGTTGTAGTTTACTATTATATTTCCAATTTTATTTTTTTGTTTCTCCTCTTGCTAGCAATTTCCTTATTTTACTTTCATTTATCTGGTTTTCTTGGAAGTTACTGCTAGCTTTTTCCACCTTCTAATAGCCTCCAAGTAGGCTCTTTTAGAAAGCCAGTAGCATCGCTAATCTAGCAAGTCTTTTTTCTTTTTTCTTGGAGACATTGTTTTTGGAGAAACAATGTCTCTTTCTGCCAGGACTTTCGGGGATCCTCAGCTCTCTAGGTCAGAGGACCAGCTGCCTTCTGGGAATTTGTTTTTCTCCTTTTCTTTTTTTCTTTTTTTTTTTTGAGATGAAGTCTCACTTTGTTGCCCAGGTTGGAGTGCAGTGGTGCAATCTCAGCTCACTGCAACCTCTGTCTCCTGGGTTCAAGCAATTCTCCTGCCTCACCTTCCCGAGTAGCTGAGATTACAGGCATGCATCACGATTCCCAGCTAATTGTGTATTTTTAGTAGAGACAGGGTTTCACCACGTTGATCAAGCTGGTCTCAAACTCCTGACATCAAACGATCCACCCACCTCAGCCTCCGAAAGTGCTGCGATTACAGGCATGAGTCACTGTGCCTGGCCTGTTTTTCTCCTTGTTTGAATTCCTATTTCATGGAGCTCCTATCTTCTTCCTTTTTCATTCTCCAGTGATTTCAACAACTTAGAGAAATGGTGACAGTGCTTCAATTCTTTTGTCTCTCTGGTCAAACTGCACCAGCCTAGGCTGGGGTTAAGTGGTAGAGGAGGGGTGTGGGTTTCAGGGAGGGACGTGGGAAGTCTCCTGGGCTCTTTTTCTCTTGGTGACAGAATAGTTCATGCCTTCCACCTCTCCCTTGTTTCTCAACTTCAACATTTGAAAAAATGAGGCCAAGTTTTCCACTGGTGAGCAATTGCCCGTCCCATTGACAGTCATCCCACTGACAGTCAGTGGGTGGTTCTGCTTCACAGAGGCTTGGGGCAGGTGGGGAGGGGCCCTTCTGTTCCAGGCCTACATATACTAGGAACTGTTAGGTATCGAGCTGTAGCTGGTAGGTACCAGCACCACCAAACAGAAGTTAACTAGTGAGTATGTGTTAAGAGAGCCCAGACTTGGACCTGTAGAGCTGTCTGACCAGGAAAGGGGATCTGTTTCATCTCAGTCCCCAGGCTTTGCTTACTGGGCTCCTGGATCAGGGAGCTGAGTTCTCCCTGCCTCACCTCCAGCTCCCCAAGTCTGAACTGTGGTGAGCAGCCTAGACTAGTCATCTTCTTGGCAGGTCTAGTGTTGTCTTTTCTTTCCTGAATTATTAAATAGCTTTACCAACATCAGAAATTTGTAGGGAAGCCCTGAGTCTTCCCATGCAGCCTGAAGCTTTGCTGTAAATTAATACTGCTTTCACAGGCCTGCTTTTCCAAACTGGCCTATGACAACCAAAGTCCCATGTATCCTAACATGTTCCAAACATTTTCTTTCTCTGTCGGAATGTAGTCAAAATGTTGGTATTTGAATCGCAACAACTCTCTGTGTTCCCAAATTCTCTTTTGAACACTCTCAATGATGAACGTGACATTGTACTACTGAGATGGGTTCACTATGGGCCTTAGGTCACAGGTGTATTTCTGGATTCTGAAGGCTTTCTATTAATTGTTGCTTTTCTTTTCCAAAGACTGCCACCTGGACTACATTTTAGTTCTGCATTAGAAACACAACTCAAAATCCTGCTTGCCCTTCCCTGCTACTTTAGTATTTACATATGTCTCCAGTTTCTGGTAACATTTAGCCTAACTTCCTGGTTCCTGATTCTGTCTTCTATGTCTTTATCTTTTGAGTTTTTTCTGTCTCTCTCTTCCACCCAGGGCATAGACCACAGTTTAAATCCTGCCTCTTTGCCCAGTGGCCTAGCTCTGGAAAACTCTGAAAATACATTCTTCTCTGACTGCCAAATTTCTCATGTGGATTAGTACCTGAGATGATTTCTGAGATGATCAAAAAGGATATGTAAATCACCTGGCACAAAGTGATTTACATGTGACGGTTCCTCTTCGTATCATTATCTGGATTTGTTTCCTTATCTGAATTAGGAGACTTCTAGCTTTGCAATCCATGTGTAATTGAGGCCAGCAGGCTGACGTGTGAGCCTTTGAGCCGTTGAGTGTAGATTTTTTTTTTACCTTCTTGCCATACCACAGCACTTCCAGCAAATGTGCTCCAGCTCTCTATAGATTCACACAGCCAGGGACAGGCTCACTTTTAAAACTTAAAACTTGGCCAGGCACAGTAGCTCATCCAAGGTGGGTGGATCACCTGAGGTCAGGAGTTTGAGACTAGCCTGGCCCACATGGTGAAACCCCATCTCTACTAAAAATATAAAAATGAGCTGGGCCTGGTGGCGGGCGCCTGTAATTTGAGCTACTTGGGAGCCTGAGGCAGGAGAATTGCTTGAACGCGGGATATGGAGGTTGCAGTGAGCCGAGATCATGTCACTACTCCCTAGCCTGGGCAACAGAGGGAGACTCTGTCTCCAAAAAAATAAAATAAATAAAAACTTAAAGTTTTTTTTTCTTAATCCATCTATCTAAGCAGGCATACAGAGCCTAATAAAGAATGTGTGTGAGAAGGAAAGAGGAAGGGAGCGGGGACAGAGAGAGAGAGAGACAGAGCGTCTGAGAAAGAGAGAGAGAGAGAGAGATTGAGAGATTAACACACCCACATACCTTCCTACTCATTTGCCAACACAGTCACGTGTCACCTGATAAAGAGGCAGTGGGGAATGACTAGGAAAATTCCCGTGCTCTTTCATCTGCTTGTCTTTCTTGGAGCTTTGCACATGTATCTCGTCTCTCCCTGGCCTCTGCTCTGCAGCTTGCCAAGCCCCCAGAAAGCAAGGTGGGCCTCTCAGCAGTGGACCTCTCCTTTTGCCTCCTTCTCCAGGTGACTGGTCTGCTGGTCTGGACTTGATCCTTCCCCCAGATCACCATGGCCGTGACCAAGGCCAGAAACCCCCGGGAGGCATTGCTCTGGGCCTTGAGTGACCTTGAGGAGAATGATTTCAAGAAGTTAAAGTTCTACTTACGGGATATGACCCTGTCTGAGGGCCAGCCCCCACTGGCCAGAGGGGAGTTGGAGGGCCTGATTCCGGTGGACCTGGCAGAATTACTGATTTCAAAGTATGGAGAAAAGGAGGCTGTGAAAGTTGTCCTCAAGGGCTTGAGGGTCATGAACCTGTTGGAACTTGTGGACCAGCTCAGCCACGTTTGTCTGCATGGTGAGTGTGGACCGGGGAAGGGGAGGGCAGGATGGCACTGGGACTCCCCTTCCCCCATGGCATTTGCAGAGCTGCCTGTAGCCTGTAACTTATGCCTTCTGTCATCTTGCCCTCTAGTCCCCAGTGCCCCAGAGTCCTTGGTGGTCTCCACCTGAGGGTTCCAACAACTGTCAGGAAGGGGATTGAGCCAAAGCTGGGGATTTAAGAAAATACTAGTCTTTCTTCCCCACCGCCTACCTCCAGTTGCAGTGGCAGAGAAGGAGAGTCTGAAGAAAGGGGCTTAGAGACTGGGAGGGTGTTGGTAAAGGGATTTCCACTAACCAGAAGAAATAGCATCAGGATGTAGGAGTCAGACCTGTCCCTAGCTGCTTCCTGGCAAGCAGCTCAGGCTGCTTCTAAGTCTTCTGTGCCCCTGATCTCTCAAGGAACCACACTACAGAATGGGTGGGTGTGGAGCCTCATGGCCTCCTGGTTCTTCCTGTGGGTGCCTGGGGGGAGGGAGGGATCTTTTGGTGCCTGTGCTCCCTCCCATAGGCTCCTTTCGTGCCTGAAAGCTCCTCTGCTATATACAAATGGGAGGGTTTCATGGACCCAGAGTCATGGCTCTTGCTGAAAAGCTGGTTTATCTTTAGTATTTGGCTTGTCCTTTCCCAAGAACAGGCTTATTTTAGTCCCTTTTGTGTTGCTGTAAAGGAATACATGAGACTGGGTAATTTATAAAGAAAAGAGATTTATTTGGCTTATGGTTTGGCAGGTGGTACAAGAGGCATATTATCAACATTGGCTTCTGGTGACGCCTCAGGAAGCTTTCAGTTATGGAAGAAGGCAAGGTCAGAGCTGGTGTGTCACATGCCAAGAGAGGGAGGAAGAGAGAGGGGAGGAGGTGCCAGGTCCTTTTAAACCACCAGCTCTTGTGTAGCTAATAGAGCAAGAACTCACTCATTACTGTGGGGAGAGCCCCAAGACATTCATGAGGGATTTGCCCCTATGACAAAAACAACTCCCACTAGGCCCTACCTCCAACATTGGGGATCACATTTCAGCCTGAAATTTGGAGGGGACAAACATCCAAACTATATCAAGTCTCCTATCACTTCACCATCCTCAGACATCCCTTTCCTTTCCCCTCTCTTTGTCCTCACCTCTTCACATGGAGACATTTCACATGAACACTCAGACATTCATGCATTCTCACACAGGCGTTTTGCACTTACATGTATTCTTACACACACTTGCTGATGCACACTGACATACCTTCCCTGCACAACAGTACATGAAGGTCCATGAACACATTCCATGAGCACATATGGATACCAGCATTCATGCACAAATATCTACACACAGAACACACCCTTGCACACTCAGATGTGTATGTGCATACTATGCCTGCACACACACACTCATGCACACATACAGTGGCCCTTCCCCATGAAGCCAGAACTATAATCTCAGGGAGATCCAAGTTGGAGACATAGAAGAAGACTAATGAGCAGAGTCAGTTTGGAGGGGCCATTTTGCCTTTTAAAATTCCCATTTCACCACCTAACATCCCATTTGTTTGGCTCAGATTACAGAGAAATATACCGAGAGCATGTGCGCTGCCTAGAGGAGTGGCAGGAAGCAGGAGTCAATGGCAGATACAATCAGGTGCTCCTGGTGGCCAAGTCCAGCTCAGAGAACCCAGAATCACCTGCTCACCCTATCCCGGAGCAGGAGCTGGACTCTGTCATGGTGGAGGCTCTATTTGATTCAGGGGAAAAGTCCTCCCTGGCCCCATCCTTAGTTGTGCTACAGGGGTCTGCTGGCACTGGAAAGACCACTCTCGCCAGAAAAATGGTGTTGGACTGGGCCACTGGTAGTCTGTACCCAGGCCGGTTTGATTATGTCTTTTATGTAAGCTGCAAAGAAGTGGTCCTGCTGCTGGAGAGCAAACTGGAGCAACTCCTTTTCTGGTGCTGTGGGGACAATCAAGCCCCTGTCACAGAGATTCTGAGGCAGCCAGAGCGGCTCCTATTCATCCTGGATGGCTTTGATGAGCTGCAGAGGCCCTTTGAAGAAAAGTTAAAGAAGAGGGGTTTGAGTCCCAAGGAGAGCCTGCTGCACCTTCTAATTAGGAGACATACACTCCCCACGTGCTCCCTTCTCATTACCACCCGGCCCCTGGCTTTGAGGAATCTGGAGCCCTTGCTGAAACAAGCACGCCATGTCCATATCTTAGGCTTCTCTGAGGAGGAGAGGGCGAGGTACTTCAGCTCCTATTTCACGGATGAGAAGAAAGCTGACAGTGCCTTTGACATTGTACAGAAAAATGACATTCTCTACAAAGCGTGTCAGGTTCCAGGCATTTGCTGGGTGGTCTGCTCCTGGCTGAATGGGCAGATGGAGAGAGGCAAAGCTGTCTTAGAGACACCTAGAAACAGCACTGACATCTTCATGGCTTACGTCTCCACCTTCCTGCCGCCGGTTGATGATGGGGGCTGCTCCGAGTTTTCCCGGCACAGGGTCCTGAGGAGTCTGTGCTCCCTGGCCGCTGAAGGGATTCAGAACCAGAGGTTCCTATTTGAAGAAGCTGAGCTCAGGAAACATAATTTAGATGGCCCCAGGCTTGCCGCTTTCCTGAGTAGTAACGACTACCAATTGGGACTTGCCATCAAGAAGTTCTACAGCTTCCACCACATCAGCTTCCAGGACTTTTTCCATGCCATGTCCTACCTGGTGAAAGAGGACCAAAGCCAGCTGGGGAAAGAGTCCCGCAGAGGAGTGCAAAGGCTGCTGGAGGCAAAGGAGCAGGAAGGGAATGATGAGATGACCCTCACTATGCAGTTTTTGTTGGACATATTGAAAAAAGACAGCTTCTTGAACTTGGAGCTCAAGTTCTGCTTCAGAATTTCTCCCTGTTTAGCGCAGGATCTGAAGCATTTTAAAGAACAGATGGAATCTATGAAGCACAACAGGACTTGGGATTTGGAATTCTCCCTCTATGAAGCTAAAATAAAGAATCTGGTAAAAGGTATTCAGATGAACGATGTATCGTTCAAGATAAAACATTCAAATGAAAAGAAATCCCAGAGCCAGAATTCATTTTCTGTCAAAAGCAGCTTGAGTCATGGACCTAAGGAGAAGCAAAAACGTCCTTCTGTCCATGGACAGAAGGAGGGCAAAGATAACATAGCAGGAACACACAAGGAGGCTTCTACTGGAAAAGGCAGAGGGACAGAGGAAACAGACGAGGAAGTTAGGTGCAGTGGGATGGGAAGCAGAGAAATGGGGACAATCACGCTGAAGGATTGGAGGAATGAAGGGGTGAAGGGACAGACATGAAGATGGGGAAAGACAGAGTTAAAAAGGATGGAGAGAAGAGAACAAGACTAATGGGTACTAGAAGGAGTGAAGGACAAAGGAATGATTAGAAAGGAGAATTAGATTCGAGAGGCTCAGAAGATATAAACATAGGACCTGGGCAAATGTGTAATGAGTCTTTAGGAACAGCCCCACGCACCACCAAGGTCTCTAGTACCCTCCCCAGAGGCTGTTTATAACTTCCTACAGTATAGTGTACAGTTTCCATAGCTCCTCTTATGTATTAAAGTTGATGACCAAGCATTTGATTCTGACATTTGACTCTTTCCTAGACAATAAACTATTTCCTGCTTATTTCAGAGAAGGCTTCTGGAAACATTTCCAGGAATTGTTTTTACAGCCTAAAGCTATAGGGATACAGACATGTAAGAAAAGCAAGGATTATACATTTTGAATTCATCATGCTGTGTCCAGACCTGTGCAAAATCCTGGCATAGAATAGCGTGTAGTAAAGGTTTATTGAACGTATGTCTAGGAATCTCTTTGTCCTTAATCTGAAATTAAGATAAGTTTATATAATTAAAGATTTTGATACATGGATGTTGGTATTTGGGAGAAGGAAAGGATAAATTTGGAGTTACATACCAAGGCTCCACCAGATGAAAATAGTGCCTGACTGTGGGTTTCACAGGCAACAAAAGCAAATGTAACGCAAGAACTTATATTGGTGCTAGAAGCATGTCAAAATTATGCAAGAGATAATATAACATTTATGGGCTAGAAATAATAAATATAAATTACTTACAGTCATTATTGCTAGTTGAATATGCATATAATATCATTGATGTGAGAATCAGTGTGTTTTACTGGAAAGATTAGGAACACTGGTTCTAATAAACCTGGTTCTAAATATTGGATCTAAATACTGGATCTGCCATTTTCCAGCTATGTACCTTTGCTCAATTACTTATCTTTTCCAAGCATCAGTTTTTAAAAATTTATAAAATAAGAATTGTAATATTTATAATTTGGGAAAATATAAGGTTTAGACCTACTGCTGCTACTGCTACTAGAGTAGCAGAAACAATGATCATAATAAAAGTTAGCACATTTTAGAGCTCTTCTTGTGTGCCAGGCTTTGGGCAAGCATTTACATACACATACAGTTTAGTTTTCTCCCATTTTAAAAATGTACATAAATGTTCTATTGTGTCTTGGCCTCTTTCTCTCAACATCTAGTTTTCATATGTTACATATAATGTTTCCATAATCATTTTGAGTGTCTTTTTCTGCACATATATATTCATTTGTGTTGGATATACCTAGAACTGGAATTTCTGGGTCAAAGGATATGTATGTCTTTGGCTATAGAAGATAAAAGTGAACAATTTTTCAAAGTGATTGTATTAATCTTCTTTAATAAATAGTGTGTACGAGTTACCACTATTCCAAATCCTTGTCAACACTTAGTATTGTCAATCTTTTCATTTTAGCTATTCTTGTGGTTATGTAATGGCCTCTAATCATGATTTTAATTTGCATTTTTCCTATGAGTAATGAGGTTGTCTATACAAACCTTTATTGGCTATTTAGATATACCCTTTGGTGAAATGACTATTAATGCTTTTTATTCATTTAAAAATGTTAACAATATCTTTCATGAGCATATATGCAAAAATCCTCAGCCAAATATAAGCTAATTGAATCCAACAGTGTATAAAAAGAATTACATATTATGACCAAGTGAGATTTATTTCAGGTATATAAGGCTACATCAGTATTTTAAAATTAATGTAATTTATCACATCAACAGGCTAAAGAAGTAAAATCATATGATCATATCAATAGATGCAGAAAAACATTTCCAACATCTATTCATGATAAAAATTCTCAACAAATTAGGAATAGAGGGGAACTTCTTCAGTTTGATAAACAACATCTACGAAAGCCCTATGGCTAAAATCATACTTAATTGTGAGAAAGTAGATGCTTTCTCCATAAGATTGGGAACAAGGTGAAGATGCCTTTTCTCACTGCTCCTATTCAACTTTGTGCTGGACATCCTAGCAATGCAATGAAAGAAGAAAAGGATGCAGCCATAAAAAGGAATGAGATCATGTCCTTTGCAGGGACATGAATAGAGCTGGAGGCCATTATCTGTGGCAAATTAATGCAGGAACAGGCAACCAAATACCACATGTTCTCACTTATAAGTGGGAGTTAAATGATGAGAACACATGGACACATGGAGGGGAACAACACACATTGGAGCCTATTGAAGGCTGTAGGGTGGGAGGATCAGGAAAAATAACTAATGGGTAGTAGGCTCAATACCTGACTGATGAAATAATGTGTACAACAAACCCCCGACACAAGTTTACCTATGTAACAAACCTGCACATGTGCCCCTGAACTTAAAAGTTAAAAAGAGAAGAAAAGGAAATAGAAGATATAGTGATTGGGAGGGAAGAAATAACCTGTCTTTTTTCACAGATGACAAAATTGCCTATGTAGAAAATGTCAAAGAATTTATCTTTTTAAACCCTCTGGAACTAATAAGTAATTATAGTAAGATTGAAGGATACAAGGCTAATATGCAAAATTCTATTGCTTTCTTATATACCAGCAATGAACACAACACCATCTACCTTAGCACCAAAAAATACTTATATATACACCTAATTAAATATGTGCAAGATATCTATGAGGAAAATGACAACACTCTGAGGAAAGAAATCAAAGAAGCTGTAAATGAATGGGAAGATTTTCCATGTTCATGGATAGAAAGACTCAATATTGTTAAGATGTCAGTTTTCCCCAACTTGATCTGTAGATTCAATGCAATCCCTATCAAAATTCCAGCAAATAACTTTGTGGACACTGATAAGCTGATTCTAATGTTTATGTGCAAAGGCAAAAGACTCAGAACAGCCAATAAAATATTGAAGAAGAACAAAGTTGGAGGAGTGCTGCTATCCAACTTCTTCCTACTATAAAGCTACAGTAATCAAGACAGTATGGTATTGTTAAAATAATAGAGAAATCAGTGGAGTGGAATAGAGAACCAGAAACAAACCTACACAAAAATAGTCAATCGATCTTAGACAAAGGAGCAAAAGCAATTTAATGGAGAAAGTTTACTCTTTTCAACAAATGGTGCTGAAACAACTAGACATCCACATGTAAAAAAATGAATCTAGATGTAAAATACAAAAGTACTAATATAAACTGCTAGAAGACAATATGGGAGAAAATATAGGTGACCTTGGGTTTGATGATGCCTTTTAAGATATAACACCAAAAGCATGAATCATTAAAAAAAGAATTAGTTGGCTTCATTAAAATTAAAAACTTTTGCTCTGTGAAAGACACTGTTAAGAGAATGAAAAGATAAGCCAAAGACTGGGAGAAAATACTTGCAAACACATATCTGATAAAAGACTTGTGTAAAAAAATATGCAAATAGCTCTTAAAACTCAATAATAAACAGTCTACTTAAAAAGTGAGTAAGAGGCTGAGGCTGGTCGATCACGAGGTCAAGAGATTGAGACCTTCCTGGTCAACATGGTGAAACCCCATCTTTACTAAAAATCCAAAAATTAGCCAGGCGTGGTGGTGCGCACCTGTGGTTCCAGCTACTCGGGAGGCTGAGGCAGGAGAATTGCTTGAATCCAGGAGGCGGAGGTTGCAGTGAGCCAAGATTGCACCACTGCACTCCAGCCTGGCAATAGAGTGAGACTCTGTCTCAAGAAAAAAAAAAAAGTGAGTAAAAAGATTGGAACAGATAGCTTATTAAAGAAGATACACAGATGGCAAATAAATGTTTGAAAAGATGCTCAACATCATATATCATTAGGGAATTGCAAACTAAAACCACGATAAGATACCATGACACCCCTGTTAGAATGGCTAACATCCCAAATCCTGGCTACACTAAATGCTTGTTAGGATGTGGAGTAATGGGAGCTTTATTCATTGCTGCTCAGAACGCGAAATGGTACAGCCATTTTGAAAGACAGTTTGGCAGTTTCCTACAAAGCTAAACATAGTTTTACCATATGTAAGATCTAGCAATTATGCTCCTAGATATTTACCCAAGTGAGTTGGAAATGTATGTCCACATAAAAACCTGCAGATGAATATTTATAGCAGCTTTATTCATAATTGCCCAAATTTGGAAGCAACCAAGATGTCCTTCAATAGGTGATGGATAAGCAAACTGTGATACATGAACATAATGGAATAGTATTCAGTGATAAAAAATAAATGAGCAATTAAGGCATGAAAAGATATGGAGGAGCCTTAAATGCAACAACTAAGTGAAAGAAGCCAGTCTGAAAAGGCTATGTACTGTATAATTCCAAATATATGATCTTATGAAAAATGAAAAACTATGGAGACAATAAAAAAATCAGTGGTTGCCAGGGGTTCAAAGAGAGTCAGGGAGAGATAAGTAGGTGGAGGCACAGGCACTTTAGGATAGTAAAACTACTCTGTGTGATATTGTAATGATGGAGTCATGACATAAATTTTTCAAAACCCATAGAGCTGTACAATACAAAGAACGAATCTTAATGTAAACTATGGCTTGTAGTTAATAATAGTGTGTCAAAATTGGTTCATCAATGATCACAAATGTGTCACACTAATGCAAGATGTTAATAAGAGAAACTTTGTGAGGGAGTGGTGGTGGTGGAGAGGGTATATAGGAACTTTCTGTACTAAAAACAAGTTTTATTGAAGTATAATTGGTTTAATACAATAAATTGTGCATATTTAATGCATAAAATCTGACGAATTTGTACATACACATATATCTGTGAAACCATGACTACAATCAAGGTAAAAGACATAACAATCACCTCCAAAAATTTTCCCGTGTCCTTTTTTCTTTTTTTTGTGTTAAAAACACAATAAGAATTTACCCTCTTATACATTTTTAAGCACATAATACAGCACTGTTGACTATATGTGGGAATTCTGTACTTTCTGCTCAATTTTTCTTTAAGCCTAAATTGCTC